CAGGACCGGCCGGGCGGGCAAGGGGCTGGCAGAAGAGACCAGTCAGGAGAGTGGCAGCGGAGGGAGGGGAGCCAGGAAGGAGCCGGAAGGAGCTGGAAGGAGCCGGAAGGAGCCAGAAGAACCCAGAAGGAGCCAGAAGGAGCCAGAAGAACCCAGAAGGAGCCGGAAGGAGCCAGGAAGGAGCCAGAAGGAGCCGGAAGGAGCCAGAAGGGAGCCGGAAGAACCCGGAAGGAGCCAGGAAGGAGCCAGAAGAACCCAGAAGGAGCCAGAAGGAGCCGGAAGAACCCAGAAGGAGCCGGAAGGAGCCGGAAGGAGCCAGGAAGGAGCCAGAAGAACCCAGAAGGAGCCAGAAGGAGCCGGAAGAACCCAGAAGGAGCCGGAAGGAGCCGGAAGGAGCCAGGAAGGAGCCAGAAGAACCCAGAAGGAGCCGGAAGGAGCCAGGAAGGAGCCAGAAGGAGCCGGAAGGAGCCAGAAGGGAGCCGGAAGAACCCGGAAGGAGCCAGGAAGGAGCCAGAAGAACCCAGAAGGAGCCAGAAGGAACCGGAAGGTGCCCGGGACCCTGTTGCTGGCAGGGGAGTCCCCTCCCTTGGAGGGAGGGGGCAGCCTTTACAGTCTGCAAAACATGGCCCCCCTTTGGAGGCGACGGGCGGGGGGGGGGGGGGGTCTCCGGCCAAAGCCTGGCTCTTGGGCAGTTGCTTATTGTTTATTTTTTTTATCAAATAAATGGATTTCTTCAACGTTGTAACATTGAAAAACAAATTTCCACTGCTTTGCAACGTTACTCTAGCAGCGTTTACATTGTAAATCTCTTCTGTTCAACGTTGTTATCCGTCTCCCCGCGTGATTCTCCGTCCTTCTTAGGCCCTTTAGACCTATATATATATTTATTTACGTTTCTTTACCCCCAAAACCCTGTTGTTTTGCAGTTTTATAGACCATTTGACGCCTTGGCGCCTCGTTCTTAGCCACGCGTACCCAACCTCCCCGTCTTTCGTAATATTCTCCTCTTTTATCCTGCGATAACTTTGCTGATCGATCCACCTCTGCGCATGGATAGATCTTATTAATCATTGTGGCTTCTGGCGGGGAGGGTGTGTGTGAGTTGTAGCCTGCTTCCAATTTTGGGTGAAAGAAATTCTGGCCGCCGTTCTGATACGGAGCATCAAATATTGGTTATTTTCTGTCGACGTTGCCCCCTACTCACCGTAAACAGGATCCCCGCCTTATAGAGACCCATTCTAGTATTTGAAGCGGTCTCGGCTCCTCACAGGGCGCAGGATAAAGCGGGAGGGGCAGTTGGGTGAGGGGGTTGGACTAGATGACCTGTAAGGTCCCTTCCAACTCTGATGATCTGCCATCTGTTAAGCCACCCACCCCTCCCCCCCCCAGGCTCGGCCCCTTCCTTCGCTCCCCCTCCTCCCTCTAACAGCCCCCAAAGCAGCCGTTGTCCTCCTGATTCCGGGGTCTCCATCTTCCTGCAGCTGTTTGGGGGCTCGCCTGTGTTCCCATCCATTGGGGTAGGGGGCGTTGGCAGAGAGGGAGGGGGTTCCCACCCCACCCGTTGGCCTCCTTGGGACAAGAGCTCCTTCCGCTCCTTGGTTTTGCACCCTGGGACCCCCCCGGAGTCCCCAGCCCCCTTGGCTGCCCCTCTGGGGCCCAACCCATGCAGGCTGGCCAGGTGAGCTGAGCCAGGAAAGGTGAGCCCAGATCCCTCTTGGCACCTGCCAACCCGGCCTTTTGTCTCCTTCCTGGAAAAAGGACGTTCTCCTTTTTGTTCTCTGCCTAATCCCAACCGGTTGAACCCGTCCTTTCGGGGGGACCCCCCCCCCGGTGGGATCTGGGAAGCCATTCGATCCTGACCCTCTCCGCCCACCCGGGGGTTGGCACGAGAGGCTATAAAAGCGGAGGGGGCAAGGGTGCCCTCCCACTCCCCAGGGCAGATGGCGCTGGGCACCATGGTGGCGTTGGGGCTGTGGCTCTTGGGAGCGGCCCTGGCAGGAACGGGCACCGCCGTGGAAAGCTGGCCTGTCATTGGGGTGCCCAACGGGGGTCCGTGGGGTCCCTGGGCCTGGCAGGAGATGTGCCCCCCAGGGACCCTCGCCACAGGGTTCAGCCTCAAGGTAAGCGCCCCTCTTCTGCCTCTTCCCTGGTGGGGGGAGGGCTGAGCCCAGCGTGGAGGGGCTGCCAGGGGTCCCACTGCAGGGAAGGCAGATCGGCCAGGGGAGGAAGAGGGGGAGCGGGATGCGCCGGAGCACCTGCCCAGCCCGGTTCCTGAATGGCCTTCAAGAAGCGGCTTCCTGCCTTTATGACACCCCCGGCTCCCCCCCCCCCGGCCCTCGGCCTCCCCTCCCTCCCTCCATCCTTCCCTCCATCCCTCTTTCTGGCTCTCCCAGGTGGAGCCCTACCAAGGGCGGGCGAAAGACGACACGGCCCTGAACGGCATCCGCCTGCATTGCACGCCTGGCAGACCGCGCGGGAAGCCGGAGGCCCAAACGGTGGAGTCCCAGAGCAACGTGTGAGTAGGGGCAGCCCCCCCCCCCCGCCTTCCCGCTCCACCCACCCTGGCATCGCCTCAGGGTGCGCGGATGCCCACGGGCCCTTCCTGCGGCTGGAGAAGGGGCCTGCGATGCCCAGGCCAGGCCCTCAAGGGGTGGGGGGCAAGGGGGCTTCCATGTGCCAAGGAGTGCCAGGCTGCCGGCATCTGAGCCTCCTGGCCTCTGCCTTTCTGCTCAGGTGGGGCCATTGGGCCGAGCCCCTCTGGTGCCCCTCCGGCAGCTACCTGACTGGCTTCTCCCTCCGGGTGGAGCGTATCCGGCGCGGCCTCAGGGACTACATGGGCGCCACCAACGTCCGCTTCGCCTGCTCCGGCGGGGCCGTCCTGGAGGGTCCAGGCCTGCCCTGGGGAGAGTACGGAGCCTGGAGCCCCTCCTGCCTCAAGGGCCTGTGTGGCCTCCAGACCAAGCAGGAGCCCATCCGGGGGGCCCTGGTGGACGACTCGGCCCTCAACGACGTCCGCTTCCTTTGCTGCGCCCAGTGAACGGAGGCCCCAGCAGGGAGTGAGTCCTCCCCGGCCCCCGCGGGCACTGCCACCCGATCCCTCGGGGGAGGGGAGAGCCCCAGAACTGGCCCCGCTTTGTGCCGGCCCCTCCCCTACCCGGGGGCTACAGCGTCTCACGGGAGGGGGGGCTGCAGGAAGATGCCCTCTGCTGCCCGTTTCCAGCCATCCTCACGTGGCACAGCAGTTCCACCCCCTCCGCCCTCACCGCCCCCACCCCCCCCCCCCTCCCCGGGAGGGAGAGGGGGAGTCACCTCTTTTGGCCCCCCCCCCCCCCCGAGCCCCCCCCCCGTCCCACCCACCCCAGGCCAGATGCCCCCAGCTGAGCCACAGGCCGGCCCCCGGAGGCCCCTGCCCCCTCCCAGCTGCTGGTCCAGGTAGAGCGAAAGGGCCGCTTTTCTCATCCCCGGCCTTTTCTCCGCAGGTCCCACCACTTGGCTTCGCGAGGACGCCCCCTGCCTCTCTCCCCCACCCTCCGGTCTCCTGCCAAGAAGCTTCGAAGCGGACGGAGGCTACAGTTTATTTGGGTGTGTGTGTGTGTGTGTGTCTTCCAATAAACCTTCCAGATTGCACCCCTGCTGGCCAAGACGTTTGGGGAGGGGGCTATTGGGCGGAGGAGTGGATGTGTCGGTGTAGGAGCTTCGGCCGGTCAGTCGGTCGGTCGGTCTCACAGGCCTTCCCCCTGCAGGGAGCCAAACGGGCAGTGCCGGTCAGTCCCAGGGAGGCCAAGAGGGTGGAGAGTCTCGTGTCCGCCTCCCCGCTCCCCAGGAGGGACCTCCCCCAGGCCCCCTGACCCCCCCCCTCCCTCTGCCCCACCCATCCCAGAGGGGCCTCCTCTGCTGCCCACTCACGGCTCGGTCGCTGTCCTTCCGGCAGTCGCCACAGGCGGTGCCCAGGAGGCCGTTGACCACCTGGATGGCGCACAGCGCCATCTCCACCAGGCTCAGCCCCAGCAGGATGGAGAACAGCACGATGTGCCAGAGGACGATGGACGGGGGGTTCGCGCACAGCTCCCACAGCGTCTTGTTCTGGAGGTAGCTGCCGCTGTCGGGAGGGGGGGGGGGGGGGGGGGGGGGGGCAGCTCCGGCGGGGGGGGGCACCCAGAAACCTCCCCCCCCCCCCACCGCCCAGCCGCCCTGGCACAGCAGAGGCCTCGCCCGCCACAGCCAGGAGGGGGGGCTTCCGGCTCACCTGAGACCCTTGAAGGGGGATTCCCACTTCCCCGGCTTGGTTTCGCACCAGGGCCCGTCGGCCAGGGCGGTGGAGGAGACCACCAGGCAGTAGAAGGCGCCCAGACCCCCCCAGATGGAGCAGAAGACCGAGCGCAGCATCTGCGGGGGG